TTTGGAATTTCGTTCCATTCATGGAGTTCTACACAGGCCGAATAATTGGTAGTCACTTGTAGCTAGGTCTGGTATTTAAGGAGGGTGGGAAAAAAGTCCCATCCAAGGCTCAATAGTTTATTGCGAGCGACCAATGTCTAGCGTTGTAAAGGTGGAACTCAACACCCTTCCGATCATTCATAACTCTTCAGGATTTTCTCCAAATTCGATGTTACTATATCCGTTGGAAAGCTGAATGGTTGCCCTTTAAAGCCATATGATTTTTTTTATTTAACGCCTACATAAGTAATAAATAAACAAAAATTCCTTATAGATTTTTATTTTATATCTCCATTCGTAGTTTGTTTACGAAGGTCCTGTTAATAGTACATAGCTAAAGTCATATTAAAGTTAAAACATTTTTTGTGATTTTCGGAAAAAAAATCATGTGAGGAACCCAAACATTAATCCTGGAAACATGGAAAGCCGAGCTTGTGCAAATAGTTTTCTATGCTTGTATGTGACACATTTAAGGCCAAAGCAATCTCTCGCAATAATTGGGTGGGATTTTGATCCAAGATATCCTTAACATTGCTCGTTTTAATTTCATGTGGGCGACCAGACCGTTGAGCATCATTGATGTAAAAATTTAAGGTTGAGGCATCATCCCCATAAAGATTGCAAATTTTTCAATGAGCTTCTGAAGCATGCATGCTTTTTTTAAAATAATACAATATAATGGAATGAAATGAAATGAAAATATTTTGTTATTATCCTGGAACTGTTGTTCCTTTAAGACAAGTTATAGATACAGAATAAATGCCTTTGTGGCCATACATAAAATTAATTATTTACAATTCTTAATGAGTTTAAAATATTGAAAAGAATAAAACAAAATATAAAACAATAATACAAACATGGGAAAATGAAATAACATAAGTAAAGAAAATCATTTCTGGGGAACTTTAAAAAGTTCTCTTATCATCGAGTTCATGATCAATCGAGTTGGGAAAGGAGTAGGTGCTTAATATGGAGAGAGATTTGAATATGGAAACTGATGGTACATGTCGGATATCAGGAGGGATGGTATCCCAGAAGGGATGGTATTCATCAGATAACAAGTGCATCATAGTGACTTAAAAATAAATAGAAAGGACTTATTTGCCAATCCAGTACATGATAATTATATAAGTCGCTTATTTTCAAGGTGAACCCTAATCGAGTTCTATAGGACCTGAGATAAGTATCGATTTTTATGTAAAAATACCCAATGAATCCAATCGTGAAATCATTATTCTCGATAGTATCCTCCGACACGTTTAAAAAACAGACTGCACAAGTAAATACCCAATCGCTCTTCAATGGTTGGTATTTAAGTCCAAGCAGCTCCCCTCTTCCTCTGAATATTAGAGATTTTTCATACAAAGTAAAGCTGTTGTAGGTGTAGAGTTTTGCTTGAAAAAAATCTAGTTTTACATATAGTGTATTGAATTCAACCAATTTCGTTCTGGATAGATCTCATTTAATATTAACAGAATTAGCCAAATTTAGAAACACTGTTAATTTTTTTGAAAAATTGAGGATGAGCTCCCTTTAATAGGCTTAAGCAAAAAAAAAAAATTTCTTGATAATTTAAGCTTCCCGATAACTCGGAGTATCGATGATTTCGAATTATCGAGAGTCAACTGAATTTGACTTGTATCATGTTTTAGCTTTATATAAATTTTATGAAACAGTTCTTGCTGTTTTTCATATTCTGTAGCAGACGGAAAGCTATCTCATGAATGTGTGCTGTTTTGTATCTTTCAAGTGATTTACACCATATTATATTTTCTCAATCTTAATTCCTGAACCTATACCAGAAAACTTGTAGCCAATTTATTGCGAAATAATTCTTCAGAATAAATTTCTTATACACTAAATGACCTTTCTTTCCTATTTTGTGCATTTAGTAAAAAGACAGAAAGTTGAGATTCGCAAATTTATTTTACTGGATACCCATATATTACAAAAATGTTTCGTGTGATTAGGAAGAAATTTTCGGAAAGGTGTACAAATTTACAGTGGTTAGAAATGTATCAACTTGTCAATAATTGCTTCTCACTACCGATGATACTGGAGTTTTTTATTCATACAGAAAGGAATATTTTTTGGCTCAGTAAAAAAAACTTCCACTCGCTTGTTAAGATTCAGGCATGAAGAAACAAAATTGGATTCCGAGTCTTTCTTTAGTCTAATCCATGTACCTTGATGGCTCCACATCAATTTCATAAAATTACATCCGCTAATTTCACTTATGTGTACGCAAACATGTTTTTTTCGATACCCTACATTTCAAAATATTAAAAGAAATAGTGTACAGATTTACATTGATTAAAATAGCGTAACTTAAAAAAAAATGTTAAATATTCATTTTTCAATCTATTTTAACTAGAATTTATTATTAATTGAAGAGAAGTTGGTTGGAGTGTTCAGTAAAAATACAAAGTAAAAGTAAATAAATTATATTTATTTGTATTGCCTTCGGGCCGACGTTTCGGCATAAGTTTCAGACCTTCATCAGGGCGATCCGCTTGAAAGATATGAGACGAATCACAATAACAGAAAATAAATTGACAGAAGAAATAAAATAAACAGAGAAAACGTTGATTCATATTATATCTTTCGAGCGGATCGCCCTGATGAAGGTCTGAAACTTATGCCGAAACGTCGGCCCGAAGGCAATACAAATAAATATAATTTATTTACTTTTACTTTGTATTTTTACTGAACACTCCAACCAACTTCTCTTCAATGAATAATAAATTCTAGTTAAAATAAATTGAAAAATAAATATTTAACATTTTTTTTTAAGTTACGCTATTTTAATCAATGTAAATCTGTGCACTATTTCTTCTAATATATTGAAATGTAGCGTAGCGACAAAAACTTGTTGGAAGTTTTTTTTACTAAGCCAAAAAATATTCCTTTCTGTATGAATAAAAAACTCCAGTATCATCGGTAGTGAGAAGCAATTATTGACAAGTTGATACATTTCTAACCACTGTAAATTTGTACACCTTTCCGAAAATTTCTTCCTAATCACACGAAACATTTTTGTAATATATGGGTATCCAGTAAAATAAATTTGCGAATCTCAACTTTCTGTCTTTTTACTAAATGCACAAAATAGGAAAGAAAGGTCATTTAGTGTATAAGAAATTTATTCTGAAGAATTATTTCGCAATCAATTGGCTACAAGTTTTCTGGTATAGGTTCAGGAATTAAGATTGAGAAAATATAATATGGTGTAAATCACTTGAAAGATACAAAACAGCACACACTCATGAGATAGCTTTCCGTCTGCTACAGAATACGAAAAACAGCAAGAACTGTTTCATAAAATTTATATAAAGCTAAAACATGATAAAAGTCAAATTCAGTTGACTCTCGATAATTCGAAATCATCGATACCCCGAGTTATCGGGAAGCTTAAATTATCAAGAAAAAAATTTTTTTTGCTTAAGCCTATTGAAGGGAGCTCATCCTCAATTTTTCAAAAAAATTAACAGTGTTTCTAAATTTGGCTAATACTGTTAATATTAAATGAGATCTATCCAGAACGAAATTGGTTGAATTCAATACACTATATGTAAAACTAGATTTTTTTCAAGCAAAACTCTACACCTACACCGAATATATACGAATATATCACCCCAGAATATATCAGCATCCCTGGGAAATCAAGAAGAAATATTTACCAAAGTCATCAAGTTTCTGGATAGTGAAAGACTTAAAAAACACATTTGACAGGCTTTTTTATTATTTTTTTTTTTTTTCGTCGGCACAAAGGGAATAAAAATAAATATAATTTATTTATTTTTACTCTGTATTTTCACTGAACATCCCAACCAGCTTCTCTTCAATTATTTACTACAGTCAACCTTCAATCGACTTCATCATGAATTTATTATTAAGATGAAAAATCCCTTAACCGTGTAAAATATAGTTTTTTTTTAATTTATAAATTATCTTAAGAAAAGTTTTAAAGAAATTAATTAGCATCAAGTCAACATTGGTATTAGTGATCTACTCTAGTCAGAGTAAAAAACTAGTAAAATTTCTCGATCAATCCTGAGCAGATTTGTTAAGTTTTATGAAGAGAAGAATAGTCGAGAATGTTAAGTTTAGAGAAGAATAGAGAAGAATGTTAAGTTTTAGTTATCAATGTTGATTTTTATTGCATTTAACCGCATTTCTAATTATTTTATTAAACTTCCTTTTTTATTTTCACTATTTCTTAGATTGCCGTTATAGATATTTGACATTCTACTATGATGGCAGGAAGAGGAATTAGGATAGCTCATTGAAACACCAGCTATTTAGAAGGACAAGTCTGGCTGTGACAGAAAATTGATTTTCAAATATCTAAACCTATACTTGTATGCAGTTAACCAATATAAGTAGATAATAGTTCGTGGTACAGGGAACAGAAAATTCTCGTAATCAGGACAATTTCAATCTGGAAGTCGACAAACTTTGTCTATTCAATTAGACATTAAAAACTCGTAAATACCCATTTGATTTCCACTTGAATCGTAAGATAACTTATTTTTTTTTATCGATTTTATGCTCAAGTTATCTTTTGATTCAAGCGCAAAGCAAATGGGTATTTACGAGTTTTTAGTACCTAATTAAATAGACAAAGTTTGCTGACCTCCAGATTGAAAACGCTCCAATTCTGAAAATTTTCGTAAATAAAATATTTGTAGGTTACGATGAGATTTATGAATTTTCAGCTGAATATTAATAATTTGGAAAAAAAAAGAAAAAAAAAAAGAGGTCTGTACCACGGACTAACTGCCCATTATTAGGTTGGGGGAAAAACCAGAACGTTGAATGTGGGCACTAAACATCATTATCTTGTATAGTATAGCCATTCTTTAACAAACAATCCTTCCAAATATTAAAACCAACCCACTTCATATTCATTTTTTTTTTTTAATCTTCTTTAGAATATTAATAACATCTTTTACTTATAGTTAACATAGAGCGGAACGTGGAAGAAGAGCTGGATATTCTGGAGGCCGAGTTCGGAAAAGAGTCAATGAGCAGAGTTTGTGGTTTACTCACAGCGACCGAGTTCGGCCTCAGCGAAGTGGAAATGCTAGAGCTCCTGATGCCAACCTCAATCGACAGCGGGCCACTTCTGCTGTCCAACGGAGTGTTCAATTTCGCCACCTTCTGCTCCTTCAGGAGGAAAAGCAGTAAGTAATTACAAATTTTCTATGAACTATTATTTTAGTACTAGTTGGCCCGTGCGAAAAATTAGCACAGCATATTGTTATCAAATGCCAAATTAATAAGAAAGTATATTAATGCAACATATCAAAAGATAAAGAAATGAAATGTTCCTTTATCGATAAATATAATCTACAAAGAAAACAAAAATTAATTTAAATCTTCATTTCTGTTTGGAACCAACATGTATACAAATTTTAGTAAGCTGTATCTTTGCTAAATATTGTCAGATTTCGATGATTTTTTTTTTTCATTTTGAAGGGAATTTAGAAATCTTTTATATAATCATGGACATAATCCAGGAAAAAGTGTGTATTTTTTTAGTTATTCGCAAATAAAGATTGTTTTCTTTCATAACTTGTTTGCCTGAATTTTCGGGGTGATTATACTATTTTGCCCGCCTGAAGGAGAAGGAATCCTTCGAAATTGGTGGTTCAATCTTTGGTGAAAAATTAAAGATGATATGGCTTGCCGATCAAAAACCCCATCGATAAATAATATAAACTCCTCCTCTCTCGATCATAGAGACCTCAAGTCGACGAAATGAGACATGTATTCAATGACTGTACTACAATTAATGTAACGTTGTGTGGATGCGAACCCTATGTCTTGCGTTATCTCGAAAATAATACGTTTTTGGGCTTAAAAACGCAGGATCCGATAGTTCCTCCGGGTCTTGCTGCACACATTTAAATCTTCAAGATCCAATTTATCCCGTATCGATCTACAGACCTACCACCGTTCCAGTACTGAAGCCTAACGAAATGTTTTTATCGACTTTATTTATTTTAGAAAGAAAAACAAAAGTGGAGAATACGATTCGCTAACCCCCCCCCCTAAAATTCTGAATCCAACGGTACCCCATTCATGGTATTTGAGCATGACAGGAGCTTATATTTGGTACATAACCGATTTCGAGCCTTACTTAATATATGTGGGGATGTTAAAACCTAACATTAGACTTTTCTATCGTTTGGCGATCTTTCTGAGTTTTGGTTGTAATTAAAATTATATATTATTCTTTTTTTCTTTTTTTTTCTTGAAAGCTTCTTCGCAGACTTCATACCAAAAATATACATCATTCTGAAATAATCAAATTCCAATTTAGTATTTTTGTGTTAAAAACCGTTGTTGCCACCTGAGGCAATTTTTAATCACTCATATTCGAATGTTGTATAACAAATTTAATCTAAAGCATCGATCCTGAATAAAGCATTTTTTTTTTTTTTTTTTTGAGATGAAACGTGCTTTAATAGTCTATGTAACAGTTGAATAGATGCCTTAAGTTAGTTATTCATCAAAAGCCATTTCAGATTCTTCCATTTTTTTTCCGCTAAGAAATTATTTAAATTTGGAACCTTCTACAAGAGGAGATGTAGCGTTGCGTTGAATGATGTCCTAAATAAGCAACTGATTCAAAGAAATAAATTGGTTCGTTTCCTGGAAAATATGGGTAAGATAAGGAAAGCAGAATTTCGTTAATTTATATTCCGCGTCATTTGTCGAAGAAGGTGCGGAGGCCCACAGAATTGCTATTTCTCTTCTCTCTCGCTGAAAGTTATTTTTCCCTCGGTTCGGAACTTTACAGGAACTCTATTTCAAGATTTGAAAATCTCAATAATCTTCACAGCCGTCTTAATTGACTTAAAATGTGATGGATCATTTTTAAAAAAGCTGACTATGCTGAATGAAACCAATATTCGATTTTGTCGCCTTTCTACATTGATGTAACTTAAAAAAAAATCTGGTGCGCACAACACCCAACTTCTACTTACCGCTCAAAATTAAATAGAAAATATTTTTTGGCCATGCTGGGTTATTATAAAATTTTTTAGTTGCATTTTTAACCGAAACTTATAGCTAAATAACATTAAAAGAACAAAAATCCTATTTGTTCTATCACCGGTTGATTATAGATTGTACGATGCGTTGATTATGGATTGTATGATCTGTTGATTATTGATTGTACGACTATTAGTTATTAAACTGTTATTTTTTATTGCAAAGTTTACTAAAATGGAATTACGAGATTTGTATTGTCTGCCATAGACAGGTCAAAAGTTGTCACACTAATTGTATGTGGATACTACTGGGATATCACAAAGGAAAAATTCATCAAATTATTCACTATTTTAATTTTCTAAAAGGTTACATGATGATTTTTAATAATAAACGGACTAAACGGACGATAGATACCTAATTATTTAAATGTAATATCAGATCTAGAGCTATTAAACTGCAATAGATATATTTAAGATTATAAACATATCCATGAAATATTTTTATATTTCACTTTTTCTTTCACACAAGTTCAATGTAATATTATCCTTAACAATGTCATTGGCTTGATTCCGTGGATTTTAAATTATTTTATTCAAACTTCATAAAAAAAATTTAAGTTTACATTTAGCAAGGAAATTTCATTTAATTTCATTGAAAATATGTGATTTACGTTAAATAATATTAGTTTTAGAAATTATTATTATTTTTATTTTTTCATCTCTGTATGTTACCTTCTACAACTTTATTTATTTGAGATTATTTTTTCTAAATTTCTCCGCTTTCCAACGATATATTATATCTTCTGACTAGTATTTCTGGATTCATTTTCGACCTGGATAAGAATTATTCTTTTTTTCTCCTTTATTCAAATATCAAATTCTTTCAAAAGAAATCAAATATTTCTTTTTTTTTATAACTCTTAGTAATGAGAGATAGTTAATTATATCAAATAAAAATAATTAAAGGTACTTTACAGGAAGCTAGTATTGAAAATTAGCCATTTAAGACCTGTAAAATTACATCAATGGGGATAAAACCTCAATTATATTAAAGACCACTTAATTATACAACGATAAACCGAGTTCAATCAAAATCGTTAGAGCCGTTTTTGATAAAATTGTAAAAATGTGTATCGCCGTTCATATAAAGTGCCACTTTCGGTAAACTGATTTCGAGGAAAAAGTTGCTATAACATCTAGTGCATTTACCTATCTTAAATACTTAATCAGTTCCTTACGATTTTCGTTTTTGAGCTACTGTTAACATACAGCAGACCATTTTGTGGGACTTGGTTATTTCGACTCAGGGGACCTCCGAGATTCGAAAATGTTCACGATCGCTATACTTTACCTTACTATATATTACATATATAGGTAAGTAAATGTAAAAAAGAAGGATTTTTGAAGATTCCTATTTTCCAATAAAAAAAGAAAATCTGGTGCGCGGCACACACGACTTTCTCTTGCCACTCTCTTCTTAGCAGCAATAAATATTTTGAGACAAAGGGAAAGTGAAAGTAAAATATAGACGCTATATTTATTTACATTTCATTGTGGTTATTTTTATTTGTTTAAATAACCTTTACAGAAAAATTTTAATTTTTATATCGCTGTATTCTGTACAAATAAATATTAAGTAACACCAGCAATAGCATTCATGAAAACCATATATGTGGCATACACATAATATTGTCAGAGTTTGTAATATATTAATCTCATATTACGTATGGAAGCCTGTTGTAATCTTTCGGGCGTGCTCGGCCGCCCTCGTATTCCTTTGGTTTTTCCATTACAATTATTATCCACAACGTTCTCTTTTGTCTCCGTTAGGTAATCATCAAATTCTTTCATACTTTATATTTAACTATTTTTTGTATCAAAGATTACTGTGAAATGATTAATTATTTCAAATAAAAAATAAATAAGGTACTTTGGAGGAAGCTAATATTGAAAATTAGCCATATTAGAGAACATAAATGAGAATAAAACCTACATTGTATTAAAAACTGCTCAATAATACGCTGATAGACTGGGTTTAATCAAAATCATTAGAGCCATTTTTTAGAAAATCGTAAAAATGTGTTAAATCGATAATATAAAGTACCGCTTCCGGTTTCCCGATTTTGACGAAAATGTTGCTGTAACATCCAAGGCTTATAAAAACCTCAAATACGTAATTTCAGTTTCGTACGACTTTTCATTTTTAAGGTAGGCTGTTCACATACACACACACACACGTACACACACGTTTTTGTAGGACTTGATTATTTGAACTCAGGGGACCTCAAAACGTGTAAATATATATATATATATATCCGTTGAAAACTCGGATTCGAACATTTTCATGATCGCAATACTTACCCTTGCTATATATTATATATATATAGGTAAGTGAAAGTAATAATATGATTTAAAAAAATAAAATAAAGACTAAAATCCTATTTGCTCAAAGATTAATTAAAGCTATTCAATTTACTTCCATATTACAATTACAACTCTAGACATCACTAGATTGGAAGAAAATCGTTTAAAAAAAAATGTAAATCCTATTGTTTGGACGGAGTCCTTATTATCTGTCATTCCTGCAAGAGTAATCATAGAGGACCGAGGAAAACAAAATTGTAGGCTCAAAAATGTCGTTTAATATTATTTTCCTCATTTAATAATAGCTTTATAATAGCTCATCCGCTAAAATAGCTTTCATATCACTAAAATGAACGAGTTAGCTGCGGTTACGATCTTCGATATTCGTCTCAATTTTGGTCGGGATTGTTTCGAATCTACCTAATTTACCTATCTTACGAAGTCTCTAAAATGGTCATTTTAAAAATTATTTGAAGGGGAGTTTGATAGATGTAAAGATAGTTTTGGGGGCGGGGTGGCCGAATAGATTAAAGCGTGTGCACAGCACCGCTAGTTGCCTGGCAACCGGATAACAGAGATTTGAGATGATATAAAAAAAGTACGAGTTCGCGTCCCGGTGCCGGAGGGGATTTTAAATTCCCCGCCCTCACCCCCCGGCCCGGGAAAATCCCGTATAGCCCAAAAGGCGAGGAAGGGAAGAAAAAGAAAAAAAAAAAAAAGAAAAAAGCTGTAAAGATAGATAGATACAAACGTAAATAATCATTATCTATTATTATATTTTTAGCTCTTTGATAACGAAACATAAAAAAAAAATGGTCTAT